CACATAATCAGATCTTGAAGCCATGGCAAGTCGTTGTTTTAGGCTTTTGACTCACTTTGATTGGGTGAGAGTTGTTAGAAGGATTGGATCAGTGGAGTGATGGGGACTTAGTTTTCAATAAGATCACTATGGTTACTGTGTGAAAATTAACTCTTGAGAGACCAAGAGACCAATCGAAGAAGCAGGAAAACCAGGGAGCAGAGTGAAGGGGTAAGAATTAGGTAGATTCTTCACATACTTTGAAGTTAGAGCTGGTCACATTTGCAGGTGGTTTGACTACAGGCTGTGCTTGAGAATGTAGTCAAGGCTATTTCTAAGGATTCTGGCCTGAACAGCTAGAAAGATAAAGTTGTCATTTACTGAAATTTAGACGATTGGCTAGAGTACATTGCTGGGTCCAGGGTAGCCCTTCAAGTTGAGCTTTGAATTTTAGGTGTGGATGCTTGTTAAACATTCTACACAAGGAGATGTGAAATTGGTTTTTGGATTTATGAGTTCAGTATACGTAGAAGAGTGTTGATATAAAATTTGAAGTTGTCAGTGTATATTTGAAGTCATAGGAATGAATGAAATTAGCAAGGGAAAAGGATTTTTCCAAAACCTGAACCTGGGAGCTTTTGTAGGTTGAAGACATTTGGGCCAAAGACCAGAAACTGGCATGGAAACCAAAGAGAGGGTGGTGGAGATAAGGAATATCAGGTGCTAGTACTTTCTTGGTAGTGAAGTGAGGGAAGTGCTTGGAGGAAGGAGCAGACAGTTGTTTCAAATTCTTTGGTCTTAGTCTTGAACTTCAGGTTTAGCAATATGAAGGTTACTGGTGACTTCCACAGAGTTTTCTTGGCAGAATAGTAAGGGCAAAAATGTCTGATAAGTTGCTATTAATAGATTTTAGTAGTATTTATTTTAGTTTTTTTGTTTTGTTTTGTTTCGTGATAGGGTCCAGACTGAAGTGCAGTGGGATGATCTCGGCTCACTGCAACCTCTGCCTCCCGGCTTCAAGTGATTCTTCCATCTCAGTTTCCTGGGTAGAGGGGACTACAGGCACGTCCCACCATGCCTGGCTAATTTTTATATTTTTTGGTAGAGAGGGGGTTTCACCGTGTTACCATGCTGTGATTTTAGTAGTGTTTCTAATATATGTTCTCACTTTTTGTGAAAGTCTTCCTAATGAATTACCTTTGACTCTAATTTTCTCTTTTCAATTTCTCTATAGCTATGATACTTGGGTCCATAGTAATGATGTTGATGCTGAAATTGAAGATCCACCAATTCCAGAAAAGCCATGGAAGGTAAATGATTTA